AAAAATGGAGAATTTACTGTCAAAAGTGCTTGTCTTCTTGCATGTCATATGCATCATGAAACTAATATGGATAGCACAAATATGGGCCTCTCTTCTGGTGAGCGAAAACATTTGTGGAAATTGAAAGTGCCTCCTAAGGTTAGAGTCTTTCTTTGGAGAGCCATAATAAATGCTTTACCCTCCATGGATAATTTTGTGAAAAGAGGGATTATGCAAAAGGCTTTATGTCCTCTCTATCAGTTAGCTAATGAATCATTAATGCATTTGCCCTTTTATTGCCCTCACGTTGAACCAATTTGGTTTGGTTCAGCCTTGGGTCTTGACCCTAGGCAACTGGGGGTGGGTTGTTTTGTGGAATGATGGAAGTATATTAAACATGTTACTCAACAAATGCACTATCCTTCTTTGCTTGACCATTGTGCTATTATTTGCTGGCATATCTAGAAGGCAAGAAATGAAAAACATTTTGAGCATGCAGAAATTTCTCCTCATCAGGTTCTTGCTCGAGTTTCGTGTATGCTCCAAGAACTCTTGCCCTCAAACCAACAAGATCTATTGATAACCCTGTCCAGGCTTCGACCAACTACACAACAATACCAGTCATCATGGTCTAAGCCGCCACATGGCACCCTAAAGATCAATGTCGACGCATCTTTTTCACCAAACACGGGGTTTGCAACCTTGGCCATGGTTGGGCACAACTCAAATAGGGATATTTGTTTCGGTAAGACTTGGAACTGTATGGCCTTATCCCCACTTATGGCTGAAACAGCTGCTCTCCTTAAAGCAATACGTTTTGTTGAAGATAGAGGAATTCAACAAGCCATCTTTGAATTTGATAATCAGGTCTTAATCTCATCTTTGCAGCAATCACTTAGACCTCTACCATGGGAGGCAAAAACCCTTATCATGCATATTAGATAATTATGTGTATGCCACCCTGGCTATAGATTTTTCTTTGTACATCGTAATGGTAATAGAGTAGCAGACTGGATTGCCCACTCATCAAGAATTGGACAATACCCCTCGTATTGAGCGCATCATCCCCCTAATATACTACTTAAGCTACTTTTGGATGATGTAGCTTTTACTTAATGATATAAAATTTTTCGTTTCAGAAAAAAAAAAATAGCACCACCACGTGTGGAACGGAGCTGCTTAATCTTAACATGATAAATTATTTAAAAATATAATTAATTAACATATGTACGGAGGGATAGGTAAAATCCCTTCTTAAGCCCCTTAACTTTTTCAACAGCAAGTGACAAGCCCCTGAACTAAAAAAGTGGCAAATAAGCCCTCCAACCCCACGGTGAGTGCAAATC